GATAGCTCACTTGCTTGCCTCTGAAACTCTTGAACCATGGCTTCAAGCTCGCTCACTTGTCTCTTCAAACTTTCAACCTCCCCACGGCTCGAGCTACCTTCCCCGCTTCGGTATCGTCATAATGCAGTCTCTAAACTTGAAATTTTCCCCTTCAACTTCTCATTCTAGGCTTGACTCTCTTGTAACCGCTGCTCTAAAGAATCATTTTCCTTCGATAAAATCTTAACTTGGTGCCTGCTTTGCTTGAGCTCTTCTTGACTCTCTCCGGCTACTCTTTTGAGGCTCGCCACCTCTTGCCTCAATTCGACAGACTTACTCGAGCTAGAACCTACTTGAGCTTTTACCATTCGCTGATAAGTTGACTGAAGATCGTCAAAGTCTAGCCGAAGTTGCTTCTCTACTTTTTCAATTCGATCTGCTCTACTCTTCTGAATGTCAATCTCCAATCCTTTTTGATACACTTCATCTTCTAGCTTCTGCAAAGTCATTCTCCATTGTTTCTGTTCTGCTTCGAAATCGTGCTTGGCTAACTCTAATGGAGATAGCACCACTCTCAACTGTTCCTCCACCGGCTGAATATTTTCAGGATTCACCATCGGGATATTGTCATTTACTCGACCGCTTCTCCACTGCTCGTACTCTTGAGACAACTCGAGATCATAGGTAAACAAATTCACGCGACGAGTTTGCTTCCAGGCCTCAGCAACCCCTTTAACTTTACCCTTATACTGATCTCCTTTGAATGCAAAATCCGACCCTACCAAGTCCCATGTGGCTGGAATGAACTGCCTTGACCCATACTGTCTGGAAACTAGTAGCGGTGCATACCCAACAGAACCCCATATACCTGGCAAAGGAACCCAATCTCGCTCTCCACATCGGTAAAGTATATCCGAAGAAGTATTCCACGAAACTCGCCACAAAATATCTCCATCTCTGATATCCTTGAAGATGACCATCCATTTTTCTTCAGTGAAACCCCCAGGCCACTCTTTAGAAAGAAAATCTTTCAAAGGCGAAAACCCCTCTAGAAACACTCGTCCTGGTGCTCTTTCAACATGTTTAAAATGATTCAGAATCCACACTAGCAGCAAAGGCGCACATCCTATTAAGCGTCATTCTCCCTCGCGCCTACAAGAACTCAAAGACCGGAACGTCTCAGCTAGAATAGCTGGAACAGGATCCACGTGCTTGTCTAATCTTTCAAACAGGTCAACAACTGATACGTCTACATATCCTAGCACTTTTGGAAAAATAACAAGCCCATAAATCCCTAAAGCAAACAAGTCAAGCTTCTTTCTCTTATCAGGATGATGAGCAATTACTTCTTTCAGAGCAGCCCAAGAGATGCACTCACTGTCTCCCTTCTTCTTAATGTTTCTGACTACCCAATCTTCACTCATTCCGGTCATCAATAGTAATTTTTTCTTAAATGAAGAAGTGACTGGCAACTTGGTATATATTCTATCTATCTGGGACCTCGGACAACGGCCCAATGCTTGATACTCCTCTATTGTTGGTGTCAGATCTACTCTACCAAATGTGAAACAGCTATAAGCCGGGTTCCAGAACTGTGCCAATGCTCTAAACAGATTTCGTCAATAGAAACATCCAGAAGATAAGGAATATCGCCGTACAACTGATAAAACATCTCCTTATCGGCTACTGTCCATCTTCCCCATATCTCCTTTAGCTCACTTAGATCATTCTGACGCACGTTGATGTGAGTGTAACCAAATAACTCTGACACATATCCAGGCATCACGCTGTCCCCATTGGTCAATTGGGACTGTTCCGACCACCTCAAAAAATCTGCGTTGTCTTCAACATCTTTCTGAGCCGTTCGTTCCATATTACTGGCCTTCTATATGGACATCGATCCCAAATCAACACATGCAATGCAAAACAGAAAAGAAACAAGGCAAAAACAACAAAAGATCGGTTAGTAAACATGAAACAATTAATTCAGGATAATAATTTGTTCAAAAATCCTACCCACATATGTTGACTACCCCATCATGCTTTATCAGATCCTACCCAACATGATATCTACCCCCATGCTTTGTTATCCACAAAAAGAAATCCTAACCTCATGATATCTAATTCGCATGCTTATTCAGAAAATAAACCTAACCGCATGATATCTAGTTCGCATGCTTGTTCGAAAAATAAACCTAACCGCATGATATCTAGTTCGCAAGCATTTATTCGAAAAATGAAAATAAATGACTCAAAAAAGCTTTTCCTTGTGTACCCTCCTCGCGGGATTCTTAAGATTCGGGTTTGGTTCAACCTAAGTTCAGGCTCTACGTTCACTATATGCTGAGTTAGGTTCTAAAGTAATAGGTTCTCGAATTGTCCTTGTCGGTGCCCCATTGGGCTGCCGAACCCTCAATCCTGACCCATCACATGCTTTAGGGGATCGAGTTCAATTTCGAGGGAACACACCTCCTTATGTCCATGCGGAGGTGATTACCATCACGAGGACCATAAGGCGTGAGCTCCAGGAGCGATCCACTATCCCATGCGGAGGTGAAAACCACACGAGGGCATAGTCTCTCACTCCTACTTAAATAGGACGGAGCGGGGTTTTAGCTCATGTTATGACAATGCAGCTGTGCAGTGTGTGAGGAAAAGCGAAAAAACAAACAATAAAAACACTCAAAATCAATTCCCAAAACACACAATTATTCTGAAATCATTAGCAAACAGATCAGTACAACTATTTAGTTGTCAATCAAATTAAATTAAAGAAATCAAAATACAAACAAAACTTATTAAAAACCAAACAAGGGATCAAAAATCAAATTAAAACGAATTTGTAATTTTCAACTGCAAAGACAATTAATTAATCGACTATCGGCTTGACTCTCTAAAAAAAATTCCCCAACGGAGTCGCCAAGCTGTCGAAACGATTTTTTTCTGAAAGGTGAAAAGGTGAGATTTTAAAACCCACATTAATTTTTAATTTACCTCTTTCAACTGATTTTTAATTTAAAAACAAATGCGATTTAAAAACCTCTCGTTTCGAAAAATTTTGAATTTCCTTTACGATCGAAAAAAAAATACAGTTCAAAGAGTCGCCACCAATCTTTGATTAGGGTGTGATTAAGCACCCAAAATTGTTTGTTATTTTAAATAAAAATTAATTTTTATTAAAACAACAAATTAAGGTCTGCGTTGCCAAAATCCGAGTTCGGGAGTCAATTACGTGTGGGGAAGGATTAGCACCCCCACAACGCCCTAAATCGGTACCTAGTCGATTAATTAACGTCTTTGCAATGAACTTTACAAATTCAAATTTATTTTGATTTTTGATCTCATAAAATAAAATGTAAATTTAAAACATTCAAAAGCACTCAAATAAATTAAATTAAAATTACCGAATCGTTTTAGAAAGATAAAGAATGTTCGATTATTTACAAATATCGAGACCAGATTTTAAAAGTTATAACAACCTTTTCTCGATAAATTTAAATAAACGAACATTTCCTTTTCTTTCGTTCCCAAATTTTAGGTGATGAATCAATTTTTTTATTTCACTTTTGGGATACACTTTTAATTTAAAATGATCAAAACGGCCCTCTAATCAGTTAAGACATGCCACTCAAGACAATTTTAAATTAAAAGGGTATTACCCTTAGTCCGATTATGTAATATGTCGAGTTATGCTAATGAGGTTACCATGCAATTCATGTAAAAATGTCATATGATCACATATAAATTAAAGATTACACAAAGAGCTATCATGCAAAGTAACAAATTCATACAAAAATTATATACACCTATTAATAATATAATATATAAGTTAAACACATGTGATATAGGATACATAGAAATAGTGTATAATATAATAGCTAAAGCATATTCAATATAAATATGTATATAATACTTACGAACAATTGTTCCAATAAAAACATGCATTACATAATAATTAAAACATATTCAATGTAAACACATATAACACTAACGAACTAATGTTCAAATAATATAAAAAACACAACTCCGTAATTTAAACGTGAAAACATGCAATTTCTGAGGGACTAAAATTCTGATTTTACTAAACAAATTTGATGGCCAAAAATTAATTATCCCAACAATTTTAACATAGAATCTAATCCCAATTGAATAAATCTGGCGCCTCTCACTTCTCTACAATCTCTCCCTGCCTCTTTTCTTCCTCGCATCGCAACACACACAAAAAAACAAGGTTCCTCACCGGCCACCAATCCTTGGTCGTGAATCAATCTTCAACCACTCCTATGACCACTACAACCGGCGGTCCGGTGACCCAAACTGACGAACCCGAACCCCTTTACAACTCCAGCCTCACCTTCTCTTCATTTTGTTTTTCACCCGACACCAAAGCCTAGTTCTCTCGACCGATTCCTCCTAAGTACTAACACTGATGAGGGTTCAACACAAAGGTAAAAGATCTTCACTCTCTCTTTCTCTCTTTATTGTTTTGATTTGAACATATAAAAATACGGAAAACGAAAGATTAAAATTGATACCTTTGAAAACTTCTCTTTCCCGTTGTTGTATTGCTATACACTTTGGATGATGATTGATGATTTGTTCTTGTATTTTTTGTTTTGGTGCTTGAAACCTTGTTGATTCAGATGGCCCTCGTTTTTCTAATATGCTGTTTCTTAGCAAGCTTTCAAACCTATTTCGTTTTTTTTGTTTACAATCGACGAAGATACAAAAATTTGTTTTTTTTCTCTTGAATGTTCTGGAGATCATTTACAATACGCTCTCCTTTTCTTTTTTTCTTCCCCCCCTTTTCCTTGTTTTCAGTCCTTTGTTCTGTTAATTCTTGCTAATGGTTCCTGCCCCCTCTCGTTTCAAAACTGAGCCCCCTTATTCTCCTGTGCTCTCTCCTCCCACGTTTTCAGTGGTTAATTTCCAGTAAAAACTGACCCTCCCCCACTTTGTTTTGGTTAACTCCCAATAATCATTTTTTTCGGTTTTCCCGGACTTCACGTGGACTGGCTTAGATGATAATGTTGTTGGGTCATTGGGCTTGAACTGGGTCGCTGAATTGGGCCTCCAACTGTTCTGCTTCGGGCTGCTCTGCTTCGGGTCTGCTCTGACTTAGCCCCGGACAGAAACGAGCATCTACACAAGGCACTACAAGATTGATAAGCAAAGGAATAACTCCATGTAATTCTTGCGATATTATACCTGATCAATTGGTATAACTGAAGCTATGACAATTATCTCTATATATACAACAAAGCCTCCGAACCGCAGCTATGAGTACACGGCCCAGACATAGTGGGGATTTAAATGACGGTAAATCTGCAATGCCAAAATACATGGCCTACATCAGAGCACATCATGACATTCTTTCACAAGGATTCCAGCATGCCCACCCAAACGTGTGAAGAACCAAAATCCTCCCTCCACTATCAAACATGGGACAGGCAAAGACCAATATGCACAACAAATAACACACTATATTTACCTGTTGTGACTTGTGAGGGGCCTTGTGAACCTTAAAAGGCCGAATTTAAAAATAACCTAAAATCAGCTGTCATCATCCACAGCGCTAATATATGACAGGTCTATCCGTCTCACTCTTACAGCACCCTTTAGCCAACTTGAGGCTCGAAGATTAGCACGGTCACTGCTGCCAATGGCTGCAGTGCTACTGGAAGACTGACCTGATCCTGCTCCATCTTCCAAAAGTGTCCATGGGTCAATTTCCATATCATTCTCCTGCAGTAATGGCATTGATTTGGATTTTCCTGACATATTATTTGCAATCCGTGCCAATGCAACCTGTCTCTGAGGGGCATTCGTAGTTCCAGTGGAAGATCCAGGAATAGAGATGCTGGGTTGAAGCGAACTAAGAGCACCAATAGGAACAGAAGGTGGGTGGCAGGAGATCGTACTGCGAAGAGAAGGAAATAATATTGGCATTGCCGCTTGAATTTGCCATCTAATCATCTCAGGCAATTGCATAGAATCTAATTCGTTCTGCATCCACAGGAAAAGATGGTAACACTTTTGAGAGGCAAAACCAATTGAAAATAAACCAACCAAGACATTCCGTAAATTTAAGTATACGAGGATGCACGTCTCATTAACAAACACCTCATAACCACATATCCACACATTACTTTCTTTACCTCCAGAACTCTCAAAAGCCCAAATAATAATTTATTTTTATACCAAAACAAGCAGCAGTAGATTCAATCAGAAAAATGATAAAAGATCAGACCTGCAAACCCTCCACTGATTCACGGTCAAATCCAGAAAAATCCTTGGCATCCTTCGACTTTAGCCAACTAGGTCTGCAACTGCTTAACAATCCATGCAGAATTAACAATAAGCGGTCAAAAAGACCATCTCCAGACATTTCTGAGGATACAACAGATGGCACCAGTTCCCCATCCTCATACACAACCCTACTTCCAAGCAGTCGAAGTATTACAGAGGCAAGCATATGCCTCATGCTTCGTGCTGACGGTTCCCTGGAAAATAGAACAAACCTTGGTAACTAGTTTATCAAATACTTGAAATAAGACTAAAGATTTCATGAAAATGATGCACCTGGACTACTCAACAACCATTAATATAAATAAGGATGAAAAAATTGCTACCAGAGGATGGCCAAAAGTCAATGAATTCACCAAAATAGTGTAAACAATGCAAAAAGATCTCTTTCGATTTAAGAATTTTATGAATTAGAAATTAAAAAACAATTTCTGCGTCCAAAGAGTGGCAAGTCACTGAAATAAAAATTTATTACTCTGAAAAGCTAAGGCAAGCAATGATGAAGTAATTTAAAAAAGAGTTGGTATTACAGATAGATAACACAGAGTTAAAGCTAATTTCTGAGATCACTTTCAACAGAATTAATGAAATTAGAAGGCTTCAGCTGAGATTGAGATAAGATTAACACAAATAACAATGGGGAATTTGTAAAGAAAATAAGTAAACCAGTATCTATTCATTTCCAGCAGAAAGATGCATGTACTACAAGATAACCACAACAAGACATTAAACAAACAAAATGACAGAACCCCATGAAAAGAATTCAGAGCAACAAGAAAATATGCTTGGAAAACCAAAAAAAAAGTCTCACAAAGCAGTAGGCATAGAAACTGATCATGCTTATTTAAAGTGGAATAAAATGAAACAAAGGGGAAAATAGTTCATATTATTTACCCATCTGCACATATTATTGGCAGTAATCTCACAATAAACTGCAACCTCAATGACAGAGAAGCTTGCAAAGCTGCAGGGGAAGGAGGTGCAGACTCCACAGGTGCCGGTGCCCGTCTAGCCAACCTAGGACTAGCACCTCTTGTACCTTTGCGATTATTAATTTTATTAGTAGAGCCTTCGATTCCAGAAGCAGCAGCACCAGTCTGCTTGCTTACACCATGAGTAACAGAGTTTATCTGTTGCTCAATGGTGTTAAACTGCTTTATCAAATCACTTGCAAATATATTATACGAGTCAATAGAGCTTTGGTTTATGCAGGGAAGAACCAATTCAATGAAAGCCTTCTCCGTTACATGCTGCTGGCTGATACTGGAACCTTCAACATCCACTTGAGTGGACCCTTTTATACATCCCTTTGTCTCCATACCCTCCTGAATGACTTCACCTTCCTCAAGAGAGGTGACTTCAGACTTTTTCTTTTCTCCACTGTTAGTCACAAGATCAACACCAGAATAAGACCATCCCCAAGGCTTCCAGAACTGTTTCTTTGTAGAAAGGTTTTTAGTTTCAGCAATGTTACTGAGTCGTTGCCTGACAGTTTTCCGCCCCAAAAGAACATCTGGGCCTCCTAAGAACCATTTAGCCTGCATCAACATTGAATCCTCTAATGATCTCCCAAAAAGATTAATCACCTCTGAGAAAAGGGGAGCAGCATCAGGTCTGACCAACAATCTAGTGAGGATAATCTCAATGAAAACTTTTTCACTCTCAGAAGGTGAGGCTCTTTCAGAGCTAGATGAGGAAGAGTGAATAGCATCCACCAAGGACATGTCATGGTTCTCCATCTTATCAATAAGAGCTTGTTCATTTAAAAGAAGCCTTAACTCAACCCACTGCCAATGAAATTTAGCAGGTTGCAGATTGTCCAAGGCACGAACAAGTTTATCCAAAAGCTTAGATCCAGTCTCTGCATGCAGAGCTTTAGATTCACCGTGTCTAGAAAACCTATTCCCATCATCCTGTGTAAATGCAGAAGGCATTTTACAATCAATTATTGCATTTAGAAAGAGCCTTGCACGAAGAGGGACAAAGGCCACGGGTTTCAAATGCATGTCCAAACCATTCAACTCTAGCAAGGCAGCAAACTCAGCATCAGTAGTATCTGCGGCTACAATATCATAAAGTCCACGAGTATCCCTCATACAAACATCTCGAAAAGGTATGTGTTTTATGGCATCTCCAATGGCCATTGTTAAAGACTGATACAATTGATGTATATCTTCACGACTTGCAATGTTACTATTCAAAATGAATCTCTTCCATATCACAAATGCAAATATTGCATAAGCTGGTGGAAACACCAAATTAATCGGGAGCATTCTTTGCATCCTTGAAAGAGCTAAAACAGAATGTTCACCCAAGAGTTCCAAAACTAGTCCATCACAAACAGTTCTGCAGTTCCCAACAAATAGCCGAAACCAGTGAACATATACTTCAACTGAGTTGTCCACCTTAAAAGCCCCAACAGATAGAGCATTACCATTAGAAATGGTTTTTGTGCTCCTAACAAATTGAACAACATCCAAACCTTCCTTTAATCTTAAGACAGTTACCATTCTCTCCAAGCTAATAACTCCATGAATAATAGCTCCAATGACAAGGGCAGAAATAGCTGCCATTTTGGTAGTTCTCCCAAAAGTTGTATTGGCAGAACCGTGGGAATTGTCACTAGATATGTTTGGATTAGAATCATGAGAATCAGGAGCTAACTGAAACTGACCAAGAGAGGCCTTTGCTAAAGCAGAAGAAGCTTCTGTTGCAAGAGCTATCTCAAATGCTTGGCTTTTGCGCTCTCCAAGAGCTTCCTTCAGCAGGCATAGACATATTAAATGAATGTGCACTATGCGCTTAGCAAAATTCAAGGAATTCATAGGTGGCTGATAATTTGAATAATTGCCACCGCCAGTAAAATCAGGTATATTTGCTAGTGTGGGTCCAACATTACTAACAATGGCAGAAACAGCAGAGGACACCAAACCTGGGTCCCCTTCTTTTAAAGCACCACCAGTCTGCCTAAAACAGTCCATTAGTCCCATTATGATTTGTTGAGCTACTTGATAATCATCATCCCCTTTTTCAGTGGCAGGGCTTTTCGGTGCATTGGCTGCAAAATGTTTTCTCTCTTTACCTAAGATATAGCGCAAGACATCATCAATATGACGCTGAACCATATCTTTCATGCTTAAACCCACTCTAGATAACCGCCCAACAGTTATCCTCTTACAGCAATAATCATCAGGATCTTCAGTCCCTGATGGAACTCCAAGTGGAAATCCAAACTCTCCCTCTGTTCGTCCAGATTCAAGTTCAGACAAAAGTCTTTTATCACAAGTCCCCTTGAAATTCTTCTCCCATTCAATTACACTGGCAATGTTGCCATACCTCTTCAACAAATAACGAAAAAAAACTAGGGTTCCGGAACCTGTAATTCTTCTATTAGTGGCCATAAAAGCTGAAACACGACTCATTGTGGCAGACAGAGCTTCAGCCACAAGATCTGCGGCAATAAGTATGTTCTCATACCTGAACAAAATTCATAATTAAGCATGTAAGACAAAAATATGCAGGTCATGAAACATAGACAGCAATGACAATGTTTAGCCATGATGAGTGCAGTGGTTCAATAGTCCAATATTGAGCAATAAAAATAACTTTCAGGGAAGAAAAATAAGTATTCAGTTCCAACCCAGACACCCAAAAATGCATCATTAAACTGTTTCATTAATTCTAATAAGCATTCACAAACAAACTCAGAATAGTTTTGCTTTTAAAAAATGGGGAAGAAAGGGGGAAAAGAGGCTAAAAATACTGTTAAAGATCAAGAAACAGTAAGTGCATCAAACCATACTGCAACATAACGGACACTAACAAAGAACCAACCCAGAGAAGCACAAATTTGATAGCCAGGTATGATTTGCATGAAAAAATTAATCAAAATAAGAGAATGATTTCACCTTCGGAGAGATGATAAAAGATATGCCTCTCCTACTTCACAAGTGTGGTTTTCCACATTCCTGGGCACTGCTAGAATGTTCCTCCCACCATGAATGGTAGGACTCGGATTACTAATAGCTTTAGGCAGCAACCAAAGGAGAAACTTGACAGCTGAAACTGAATCACAAGAAACATCCAGTAGATACAGAATGGACGATAGCTCATCCTCACCAAGCTTCCACCTTAAGGGACTCTTCTCATCAGCTGCAACAAACGGCCGGCCATACTGGCCAACCTTGGCGACAGATTTTTCAGACTCTTCAACAAGCTGCCTAACTACAGATAGCAACCAAGAAGTGACAATCCTCTTCTCTACAAAGTGAAGCTGCTTTAAACCCTTCGCAACTAAAAGAATATCTCCATGATGGGTTGTTTCGGTCACATCATCTGGCTTCAAAATTTTCACCTCATTTCTATGATGTGGACAGCTAATATTGTTATCACATACGTGACTTGTCGATGCTCCCTGGCTATCTTCAATTCTAGAAGCAGCTAACTGAGCAAGAGACTGAGTTTTACGGACAAGCTTTTGCCTAATACGAGACACTTGCTTTGTTGTCTTAAGCAGAGGGTCAACTGTGGAAGACTCCAAGACTTTGGGCCCCTTTCTCACCCACCAACTATCTTCATCATCTGATGGAATTGATGAAGATACTTGAAGACAAGAACTCTTATCCTCGATTAATTTCTGTCTTTTTACCTTTTTACAGTCTTCACACACAGGTGTACCTTCAAATAAATCCATCTTGTTGTATGTTGACTCGATAGATCTTTTGATACTCCCTTGAGACTCATCCACTCCTCTATCTGCAGAAGTAAAAGATAAACTAGGAAATTGCAGCAAAACTGAGATGGAAGCCTTCAGTTCTTCAAGGTTCACTTCTCTCCTGAAAGTCTTTGAGGCCTGAACAGTTTTCCTCTGATCACAGGAAACTTGGGAAGCAACATCTCTTCCTGAGGTAGAATGATAGTTTTGCTTCTTAGCTGGTACATGAGAATCGCTTGTACTGTTATTTGAATCAAAAAAAAGTTCATGAAGGACAAGACGACGCTCGTTTGTGTAAATATTCATAGCCTCAAGCAGTTCTGAGCCCTCAGCAATTCTTGCTTCTTCCAAAGCATCAACCATAAACTGCCCTGGGAGCTGCTTCAAGATTCGTTGGTGTCTCTTCCTTGTGTTCAGGTCAGCCATTGGTCCATTTGTATCAATAATTCCACAAACTATCAGCTGCCTTACATATGCCTGAGGATAAAAAATTCCAGAGCGTATGAGTTCCAATACAAAAAGCTGAAGACGCTTGCTACCTTCTCCTTTATGCCCATCATGCTGATCGATCCAGCAGACAATAATATCATGCAGAGGACCTGGACTGTTAAATATATCAGAAGAGTTACTTGTTCTACCATTCACACCTTTTCCATTGCTTTTAGCTTCATGTGTATTTCCCAACAAATCCTTGATGGAATAGCTCTTCTGCTGACTGTTCTTTCTTGATGCCCTTCCCTTCTTGTGCTGTTTCTGCAGCTCTTTCATCTTCAGCTTCAAAAGTTGAATTGCAAGAAATATTTGTGAAAAATCTTTCCTACCAGTGAACTTCATGTCACAGGGTGGACCAAATCGGAAATCTCTGTAATCACAAGTTGCCCACTCACAAAGGAAAAAAACTGAGCAAATCAATGACAAATTCACAGTCTGAAGCCATTTTAGCGATGATCTTAAGCATGGACTGACTGCTGCTACCCAACCTTCGCCAACTGCTCCATCATAAAGATCGGTGAAGGTCTGTTTATAAGCATCTATCAGATCTCCTTGCAAAAGGGCTTTATCCAGTGTCTGCACAACTTTTGCTACACTTTGGCTAGGATATCCAGAACTTGCGCCTTTAGCAAGATTATCGGCACGTTTCCGGATGGTGGAAACAACATGGTTAAATGACAAGGATTGGTATTGAGAGTCAAACCCTTTACCTTTGACAACATATGCATCTGCCGAATAAATTTTTATTTTCTCAGCATCGTCTGAGAACTTGGATAAAAAACCATCACTCGATGAATGTGAGATCACACAAGTTGGTAAGGGAAAGCAATCTAAAGCAACAAATGTATCTGGCACAGCCTGTATCAAATAGCGAAGCATCTCAACAAGTGCAGATATTGTGTAGGCTCTCTGGGAGTTATCAACCAAATCAGATCCACCTGGAGAAGGCTCGCGAATGAAGCGAATAGCTACACCCACAAGATTGCGTACATACGTCAGACATAAAATGATGGTTTCCAGAACTCCATAAATGATAGGCAATAGCAACTGCAGAGTCTCAAGCAATTCTTTTTCCTGGAAGAGCACAAATAAATAATCAGAAACAGAAAATGATCATAAGCTCGTAAATTATTTTCTATATGAACAAACCTCCCAGCACAGTAGAAAAATTATATGTAATGAGGATAGAATACAACAAATACAATACCTGCAGTTGATTCAGAACCCAATCAATGATAAGTGAAGGATGAACCAATCCTTCTGCATGATGCCACTGCAAGAGCCGCACTACATACAACCACTTAAAGTGAAGGGTCAGTTCACCACCTTCAGTAATTGCTGGTCCCAGATCACTCCTATGGTGCAAAGACCCAGTATAAACCACTTGTGGAAATCGATCTCTATCATGTTGAGCAGAATGAGAATTATTTAGCGAAAAAAAATCGTCCAAAAGATACTGCATGTAATCAATAACATCTTTCGTCCAGAGCTCCGTGCGCGATAATTGAGATCTATCAGGTGATCCAGAAGAAATTGCAGCGCCAGAACGAACCTGCAAAAGATGACCATTAATCCGCTGCCTTCCAATATTATGAGTAACAGCAGGCTATTACAGAATGCATGATTGGATCGTACGAATAAATTAAGACTATTGTACCTGATTAAGATATGTTATTTTGATAAACCAAGTTGCTCTCAGCAATGGAACATTATTCCTGATAAGAACCTCTATTAGTGTTCTTTTCTTATACCCTTGAGGAACTTGATCAGCCAAAGAACACAAAGGTTTGTGTTGCAGTGATAAGCCCTGACAAAACATAACATAACAAGTCATTGAGTTCATGCATAAAGTAAGCGTTAGACTTTCACCAAGTTCAATGAAGTCAAAAAAAATTAAAACTAGAGACTTATGTACAACCAACTTGGGGGCTATGAACTTACCTCAATCCATTTTTTCTTGAAATCTTCATTGCATGGCCTTTGTTCAGGGAAAACCACTGGTTTACTTAACAGTGAACCAGAAAGAGAAACACCATAAACCTGGCCAGCCTGGTAAGAACAAAATATAGTTCTTTAGAAAGGATGCAAAAGAGAGGGGGGCGGGGACACAATAAACAAACAAGTAAAAAGAAGCAGATAAGTTAATAAATTTGAAAAGAACATATGTATCACCTTCCTCTTTTGAGCACGCGATTCATTGATAGCCCTTAGACACTTTCTGATTGCCTGCAAATAAGAGGAAGGTATTAAAAGTTAAAGAACTGACAATTACATTGCATAGAAAAACCCTTTTTGAGTCGATAAGTTAATTATGCATTCTTATAAAGGTCTGCTTGATGACCACAGTATCCCAATAAAGTGACTTACATCTCTGCATTTCAGAACAACTGGCTTCGTAAAAACCTGAACCTGAGTCGATGAAGTCTCTTTCAAATCCTGAAAAGATGACAGTGCCATGTTAAACAAGAAAAAGGATGGTAATAAAAGAACCTGACTAGAAATAGTTAACTTCTTGGAATTATCTTAAAAATTTTCAGATTTAAAATCCATACAGCTTTAACAGATTGCTATGTTGTTATATAAGCAAGAAGTCAAAACAGCCCTCACACAGATACTATTGGATTTCAATCTCAGATAAGCACAGATGTTAAATAAAAACAAATCAAACGCCATCATCGGGAAGAAGAAAGTAATGTTTGACAGAGACTGCGACACCAAAATGAGAATCTTGTGCTAGGAGCATATGCATCGGATATAAGTTCCCAAACCATAAGAAAATTTTGCACACTAGAAAAATATGGTTTCATCCGATTCCTATAAAGTAAATGAGATTAATATGGAATATACACTTGAACTTCAATTAAGAATATCAAATAAACAAAAAAATCATTATCCAAGCTTTTCATGTTTACAGAGACCCAATTACAATCATTTTTAACTCAGGCTCAAAAACAGTTGTTCAAAGTGTACATATATAAATATATGCGACTTCAATTCATATGGATCGGTAAAGTGAACATAGTTACAATCACTTGCATGCAGAACAAAATCCACATACAGCTGTTGCAGCAAAACAAAAAGAGGTAATGAATCTTAATCAATCATAAGATTATACCTCCAGTCCATCAATAGTCTCCTTATATCCCTGGTGCACATTTTCTCTAGTGAGGGTCTCCTCGGGACAATTTTGAGTATGAGGATGAAAATCAGGGGGGGCGAGTCTGAAAACGGATAAAAATTAGTACACAAGATGTCCAATAACTTAAGAAGATGAACTTTAATCCTATGTTTGAATTGGAGTAAAACAAGGTAAGGACAGAAGTAGGTTTCTCTTGTTTTTATATTTAAGCAGGGGAAAGTGAAAGGAGTTGAATCTCCCTTACTTCCCCTTGAAACCCTTCATTTTTATTTATGCCAATCAGGGAGGAAAGATTTGGAAAGTAATATAAGTTCTTTAAGATATAATATACTTTTTCTATCGTTTTAATCACCTACATAATTCATTTTATAAAAAAGATATAATTGAAAAAGCCATTATTATGAACAATTTTTTCCTTTCTGTTGTTTAACCAAACAAAGGTTGTGAGAGTTCCTTTCCTTTCCCTTATTAACTTTAACTATTAGAATATACACAGGAATCATTTCCTTTTCTTAACCTTCCTTCCTTTCCTTAAATTTCATTTTTTTCCTTTATAATTATTTATCAAACCAATTGGACCATAAACTTAGTCAGCTTCCAACCCATAATATAAAGCAACAAAAAGTAACATACAACCTAAAAAGATGACCTAAGTCATATCAGTGCGACAATCAACTGTGTTAGCTATTACAAAGCAATTATAAGCAACATATAACCTTATTCTGAGGAATTACTAAATCATTCTGCATAAATACAATTAACACAACAATTCAGTTCAATTGCATAAATTACCTGGAATTCAGAGGTTCCTTGTCACACTTCAACTTGTAGGGAGCTAACTGAGAATGCCACCTACAAAAATAAAAATAAGGAGATTGGGTAGGAAAAATGTGTACTTCCCCCAAGTAGACAGCTTCACAACTCTAAAAAATGTCAAGGATAAATATGTTGAGGGAGGGGGAGAGAGAGAGTCTTATTCAGTGTGGAAAATATTTTTTTCAGAGAACACACAAATAATTTGTTAAAACAAGAAAGGTGACCAACAACATGATGCAGCGTACACACAATCACAGAGTCAGAAAAAAAGGGAACAAAATACTCACTACAAGACTTAGAAAAATTAATTCCAAATTGAAGTGTTCTTGTAAGTATGAGCAGAATATTCTAAAAAATGTGGCCATTGATTGAAATTTCATATAAAGAAAAATATCCTAATATATAATCAAACACAGATTTTGGAATCAATAAATGAAATCAATTCAAGAAAACAAGTATCAGTGAACAGAACATAAAGCATCAAGTTACTTTTTTACCTAGAATTCAATGAAAATTTGGATGGTACTGAAGATGAGTCAGCCCGGGAAGTATCCCTAGCTGTGGCTCCTCCTATACTGTTATTAACTGCACTACTGCAGCCGGCAGCATGATATCTTTGCATTTCTCCTAACTATCAGCGGCATACTTCTTCCAGAATCAAATCCTAAGAAAAAATGTTAAAGTAAAACTGCAACATGTAAATGAGGGGAAAAAGGAAAAGGAAATCAGAACCACCATAGAAAGCATTGAAAAGAAAATTGAGAAAGAACAGATTCAATGGGTGTGCCACCTCAAACATGAAACGCACACATTACTCTGACCTGCCAGGAAATTGAACGAGCATCACATCTAGAAGGAAATTTCATTTGTGTTTATAGAGAAGAAAAGCAAAGCCACTGTCGATAAAATAAATCACAATGATTATCAGACTCCGTTAATCAAGGAGGAGGTTTGTGATGAGGTCTGTTATTCCTATCAAAAAAATGTACTCTTCTCCTCCTTTCAATGGCTGTCGTGAGGTACATTCATCACTAGTAAGGTACATTCAGTGAGGTGAATTCCAAGAGCGTGCAATGGGGAGGCAGACAATCTAGCTAAGAGTGGGATAGGTTGATTGTTCGGAGTCAACTATGGTTTTCTATTCTACTGTGAAGGTTTTTATGGCAGGGGGTGTTTTTAAGTTTTATGTACTGTAAAGGCTTTTATGCCAGGGGATGTTTTTAAGTTTTATGTACTGTTATTGCTGTAATGGTTGTATCTTATGTAATTTTTCCATTAGTAATAAAATTAAAGGCACTCTTTTCCTCCTTCCGCTGATTAAGGAGCTTATTATCAAGCTCCTTAATCAAGAAGGGGGTTTTTAACGAGGCCTTTCATTCCTATCAAAAAAAAAATCACAATTTTATTCACTAAAGCAGTTTTTTGAAACTAAGCATGAATAATTTTAAAAAAATCACACCTTCGGTCAAACTTAAGTCAGAGTGCCAATGCTAAGAAGCAATGTCGGAAAATTATAAAAATAATAAACAATAGAGTACCAACCCTCAAAAAGGAAAATAAATAAAATGGGCTGTATAATTCAAATTTCAGAGATTCTAAGTGATATAGTTGTGAACATTTCTTCCATTGAATGCTTAACAAAACATGACCTAACAGTGACTCGGTGACCAATTAACAAGTAGTACATAAGTTGAACCACAGACCATGACATGACAACTAAGGAAATAGTCATTTCTAGATCTTCTTCACGTGAACAAAACAATTTAGCTGCAAAAATCTAAACATTATATCATTAAACTTGATAACTTTGTTCTACGAAGAACAGATCCAATAAATTTACAACGCTATTTCACACCATTAGTTTAGACAATATAAGAATTGTCTTCAAGTCACACAAACACAATTCCAATCAAAACTATAAAACTCTTAGCATGTTCCAATAATCGTTAAAATTTTAAACTTAAGGTAAAATAAATCAACTCCCAGCAGCTTGAAATGCTGACCAGGAAGGCAAACTCAAAAGCCGCATAGCAAAACAACAGCATTAAGCAACCAAATGGCGTTGATCTATTAAAATAAACCAAGAGGAACAATCAAAATGTGTTAACATTCAAAATGCTTCCCTCCCCAGGTGACTGACTCAATCCAGTTTACCATCAAAGCATACAATAAATAACTAAAAACTTACAGTTTTGATTCAGAAGTGAACCAAATCTACTGCATCAAGCAAGCACCCAACATTGAACCATACGCAAGCAACGTTCTTTACATGCCAAAAAGCTAAAAATTAGAAACCAAATCTTCAGTCTAAGACAGCGGGAAACAAAAATTCCAATATCACAATACAAGAACTAAGGTTTATGCGAGCTAAAAAAAGATTGGCCCTATCCATCTTTTCGTAAAATAATGTAAATGAGACAAGATTAAACGAGGAACAAGAAACGTACTAGGAAGATTGAGATTGCACGCAAAGAAAGGAAGCCTACCTCTGGTTTTAAAAAAAATAGGGATTTCGAAGCAGAAAAGGGGGTGAAATCTAGAGAGAGAAAGTAAAGGGAAACAAAAAAGAAGGAATAAAGAGAGGGATAGAGAGGAATTCGAAGGAGGGAAGGGTGTGGGGGGCTTTGACTATTTGTTTTTCTTTTTTTAAGCTTACGCTGGTCAGTGTGATTACGATTTTTTTTTTATAGCTTTGGCAATTGCCCTTCTGTTTTCTTGCTTTGCTCTCGAATAATTTTTTAAAAAAAAGCACTATATTTTAATTGTTTTTGTGTTTGATTTCCCATTTTATCCTCAAATCGTTTGTTATTCTTATCTACCTTCCTCGGGAAGATGAGGAGCGGCCGCGGGGGATATAATAGGAAATTAATTGTTTTAAAGTGTTGAGTAAGTGAATTTTAACCGGCGTTGAGTTGAGAGCTTTGGCGTGGCATACTTTTCAAAGTTTGGGTTTAAATAGGATGGCCCAAGGTAATATTTGTCTTTCATTAACTTATATTTAAAATTAATTTTGGTATTTTTTACAGTAACTTAAAATTTGTCAGGTGGATATAATAAGTTCTTATAAAATATTTTTTATTGGAACTTGTCATTCTTATGTGATAAATTTTAATAAAAAATTAATTTTTTTAAAACATATCACTTTGACTTGATACGATTTTAAATAAAATATATTATTTGAGCAAATTAATCAATGAGTTGTTTTTACTTGTCTGACTTATTCGGCCAATTTTACAATGCACCAATCCACTTAATAGTAAAATTAAGGCTCGGTTGGGTTGAGTTGGACTTTTAGTTCATTTGAAATCTAATTTGAATCTTTGAATATAAATATATATTTGTTTCGATTCAATATAAATAAACGTATGAAAAATGGAATTTTGTTTGGAATAACATTGATTTAATTGAAAATATGAAGAGAGAAATAGTATTGTAATTATCACTAAATATATAAGATATGATTATATTATTATTTTGGATAAAAAAAATCATCATGAACTCGGTTCAATTTAATCTGAATTAAATTCAAATATTCTAAAAAAAATAAATCCTATAAAATCATATTGAAATCCATTAAAACCTAATAGCCTAAAAATTATAATTATATTTAGAGAAAGTAAATTTATTCTCAAATATGTATTTTTTATGAGAGATGAGAGTTATTATCATATGTCTCGTTGAAACTCTCTCTAATAATAGTGAAAGAAAAGAGTATACATGATAATAACAAAACAACAACAATGGACTTCCAAACAGAGCAAAAAATCACCATCAAGAATTGCCTAACAACGTCTAACTCGGACCTCAAGAATTATTCTCGTTAGATAAATCAACAATCTCATTGGAAGGGACAATAAAGAATTGTGTTTCAATTATATCCGGGCCAGCACTCCTCGTTAAACTGTCTGCAACCCGATGACTTTGTCTCAAAACATGTTAGAATCTGACCTCCCAATCTCGGTCAAGCAAGCAGTATATATGATCCACAATGGTTAGCAAATTAGACTTCCTTTTATGATTCTGTTGCATGTTAATAACATTTAAGTTATCATTCTCAATAATCACTCTCCTCAGGTTGGTGTCTCGAGCCCAGTGGAGATCAACGTAAACACCACAAAGTTCTGCTTCCAAAATCGAGCACGTTCCAAGAAATTTCTTAAACCTCATTAACCACGTTTCTTCATGGTTTCGAACAGCACCCCCACATGAAGACAAGTCGTTGCTTTCCTCTCTTGAACCATCTGTATTGATCATAATCCGATATTTCATAAGAGTTTTTTCACTTAGCGGCAATTGGATTGAAGCTTTCTGCGCTTAGACTTAAGCTTCTGCTTGAGAGCATTGTACGTCAATACTTCTTTCGATTATACCTGTATTATCCTCTAGCGGATTATCAAAGACAATTGAGTTTCGATGACGTCAAATACACTAATGGATAGCTCCGAATAAAATAGCATATTCCTTACTATCATTTGCAAAATAGTTTATGTTCAACAGGTTGGTACAATATATAAAAATATATCATAAATATATTATGTGTTTAATATTATTTAATTTTATTGATAGAAATAAATGGATTGTGTATGTAGTTGAAGGTTTATCCATTATATTTTGATGAAGAACCACAATTATGCAAAGATGATAGTTATCCGATGATTCTTTAAAAGGGAAGGGAGGAGAAAGATATAATATAAAAGAAGGATAATGTGTATCGGAGAGTATGAGACAAAGCGGAGATAGAGAGAGCATCTCTTAATCATAGTTGATAGAGATTTATATTGACCGACTAATAACATCATACGTAAGACCATTGTAATTAATTGTAAGTCAATATATTAAATAGAATTGATTGTCAAATATTGAATAATTTCGTTTTTGATAGATCATATGAAACTCTCAAAAGCTTAAAGTCTAATCATAATATTATAATCATCTAAAAAGTACGAGACTCTAGTTGAATTCGAATTCGTTAATGAAATTATTATCTCAGGAGTATATTTTCGAAAAAATCTCTTTAGAGTTTATTAGCAAAAAAATATATTAAATAACCTAAAATTATATGAAAAAAACTATAACATTGTTTACATTATTTGTTTCATTTTTTCACCCATTTTTGGACGGTGGATACTAGTGACGGGGTTAAGAATGTGAGCCGAAAATCTGGGTTATTGATATTTTTTACGGGTAGTATAACTGCCCGTGATATTTTAGTTCACTATTTTTTATTTATAAAATTAAGATGAATATAAGATAATATTTGTTAAAAAAAATTAATTAATAAATAATGAATAATCATATTTATACTGATGTTCGAGTTCTCTGAACATGGTCAATAAATTAATAAATTATAACCTTAAACGATAGATGTTACATAATTGACATAAAATCATTGTTTCTATAAAAATTTATACAAAATATTACTACATTATTTTTATCGAATTAATTTTAAAATATGACCAATTTAATAGATTATGTAAGTAATAAGAACTAAATGTATAATTATACAATTTTATTAACTTCCACGTCAGTACTTCCGTTAATTGTTAATAGCAAATGACTTGATTAAATGCATTTAAATAATTTAATGACTTAATTGACAAAATTTAAAAAATGATGGTCAAAATGAAAATGTTAGTGCATGGCAAGCTTTACCTGGATCCTCAATTTCATTGGCTCCTATTTCTTGGAATTTTCATGTGGTGGTCTGTTTAAATAGTGCACATAAAATCATATATATGAATGGGATATCATCTCTGGGATGGCAGAACACAGCACAAGGATGATGTGTAGGCAAGTTGCCATTCATTCCCTGTGGTAGGTAAGTGCAGAAAAACTCGATTGTATAATGATGATGTTGCAAAGAGGTTCGTGGAACCGATACGTCAGCACGATACAAGGTAAAGCTTCTATGAAATTAGCCGTTAACTAGCTTCAAACTAGTCTGTTACTGGTTAATTTCTAAACGTGTTGTAACAACTATACAAATATTACATGCTTCTCTACAACCTGGAAGGGTAAAAATGTTTATAAACTGGTTATTTACTCTACGCCAAAAACTGGCACACATTAGAGGTACTTATTGTTCAGGGTTTATTACCATTAGTCTTTTTGTTCTAAGGGCTGAAGTTGGACATGCGGACAAGGCCTTTCCGGTTCTCCTCGTGTCCAGAGAGTTTTGAGATCACCTCTCTTCTTCCCCAGTGTAATAAAGGTCCCTGAATCCCAAACAAGAGATGCTTGGTAAGAGAAATAAAGTAAAGATAACATTTCATCGGGGGTTTATGAGGACGGCAATGTATGTTACTGCAACTGCGCTACTTTCAATATCATTGCTACTTACCGAGAGTGAAAGGAACAATGTAAAGCAAAGCAGGTTGGCCGTGTCCATTCATCATGTTCAAGGCCACATATGTGACCAGAAGACCTGTGGAATTATTTTAAACAAATATAGAATTACTGAGTCAATGGTCTTTATGTTGTAAGATGGGCAACGAAACAAACTGCTAAAGATGTATATTCCTACTACATTCTTGGGCAGGGTAAATTGGTGCAATATCATTTTCTTCCCCTTTCAATTTGGGGATTACTAGATTTAGAATAGATAATCTCCGCAAGTCGGAACCAAAAGAATTTATTGCCCCCATTAACAGTAAGAGCCCGAGCCTCTTCAGTTTGAGACTATAAACAAGTAAAATTCAAGTTTGAGACAACAAATTTTCATACCTAAACCATAAGCAGTCATTGCCCATATAAAGTACCCTGCTCGAAGAGGCGTTTTTGTCAGCCAATCATACCTACCAAAAAAAACATTAACATGATCAGTCAATGAACACTAAACACACCAAACATAAGAAACCAATCTCATTGTTGGAACAAATCCGTGTACCATAACTTATCAATACAAACAGAACCAAATATTTCCAATTTAAACTATGCCGCAAATCTAGTTTGACCAATGGCAGGTTCATAAGCCACGGTAACATAATTTACGGATTTGTCAATGTAAACATTGTACATATGACCTATTAACAAGTTACGATCAGCATGTTCTGGTCCTAAGGCTATAAGGTCTTACACTATACAAAAGCATAAAGAATTAGCAAATATAACTAAGACCAAGATAAATTTATAGATCACGTGTAGAGATGGTAGTCATTCAAACCTTAGCGAAAATGCCACAAGCAGTCCAGGTAAGATTATGTCTCCAAATCCAATAACACTGTAGCCACCCCAAGGATCATACATCCGGGGAATTTTTAGTAACATTGGTATTCCATCCTCTCCACTTCTATCACCACGAGCAACCTATGATAGAAGAAAAAAGAACAATAATATCATTCCCTCAAGCTTGACCGAGCAGAGATTTTCTTTCTAGCTAGGTGCAGGCTTGCTTCATGGTTTCTAGCTAAGGAAACTCAAGTTACTATTTCCAAGGATGATATTATTGCTGACCCGTCCATAGTGGATTCCTACTCATCCCATTCTTATCGGGTTTCAACCGTGTTTCCTTGGTCCCCTCCTCCAAAAGGTTTTGTTAAACTTAATGTGGATGCGGCTACCTCGAGTGATTGGAAGAGGAGTGGCTTAGGTGGTATTTTGAAAGACATGTCTAGTTCGATTCTTGGCTCCTTCAAAGAGCCGGCTGGTCCGGGGCCCCCAACTTTAATGGAATTGAAGGCTATCCTAAAGGGTTTAGATTTTTTGAATCTATTCGTCATAGGGTTAAAGATAGATTGATTATTGAGAGTGATAGTCAGGTGGCAGTTGGCTGGATTAAGGATGTGGTCTCTTGTCCTGTTGTTTATGTTCAAATAGTTAAAGACATTATTCAAAAGCTTAGTGTTTTTGAAGGTTTTATTAGTTGGGTTAGTAGGACAGCCAATATAGAGGCGGATGTCCTAGCTAAGGCGGGTATTGGTTGAATTATGCTCTGTTAAGGGCTGTTTCTTTTTGGTTTTATATCTCTTGAGGGAGATGGTTTGTATTACTTTGTTATATTTGAGTTTATTGAATCCTAGGGCACTCCTTTCCTCCTTGTGTGGATTAAGGAACTATTTTTAAGTTCCGTTAACCACCAAGGGGGTTTTTTGAGGCCTTTTATTCCTATCAAAAAATAATATCATTCCCTCATCAGACCATATGGTTTACAAGTTCATAATTCAATGGTGAAGAGATTATATTTATAATCACTTACCACTATCATCACGCTCTCATGAAACCACCATTTGGAGACAAACACCCAGAAGGTATCATACAAGAAAGCACAACCCAGGAGAACTGTTCCAACCTGATTCAACAAAATTCACCACTAAAGAGCATAAAAAAATTTCCAACCCTTTAGTTATTCTCGTATGTAAACTACTAACATGCAAAAATTATTCTTCATGTACAGAAGCATGGAGAAAGTTGAGACTCATACAATAGCAAAACATTCATGTGTCTCTAAGCAGTAGGTAGATAAAGCCAAGTAAATCAAGATACTCACCTTGAGATTTGGCACGCGGACAATCTGAAGGACTGTGATTATAAGCGCAATACCCTGATTAAAAGGAAAAAGAGGAGGTTCATATATCATGAGTTTACCATGATAAGAACGCAAATCAGACTATTTTCCAAGCATATTAATTTTCAATGAGAGCAAGATGACTACAAGCAAATGGAAACATCGAATACAATATAATCCGCTGAAAAATTCAGCAATCAAGAAAAGTAACAATAACATAAGATACTAGAAATGTTGTCTTACAAGAATATCTTGACCTATCCAGGCAAAGGAGATAGTACGGTACACTGCCCAAACAACAGCAAATGCTATGCAGAAGGGACAAACAGCCAATGTCAGATGCGAAACAGCTCCAAAGAAGGGTACTTTAATAAATGATTCTGCAAAGCCTTTAAAACACCTGAAGCTGAAGATACTTAGCTGTCAGTGTGGTATGATTTAACTTGTTTGTTAAAACATAGAAAGAAAACGCACGAATCCTACTAATACTGCTGATTTTAAAAATAGAGATTTAGCTGCTGATGTTATTTTACACATATTTCTGAAAAAGACTTTGCTCTTAACTATGTTTGATTACAGTCATGCAGAAGTAGAATAATCAAGAAGTTACATATCCATAGAAAAGCATTGCATACCATGATAATAAAGTCACCAAGCATGTTTGCATGCCCTGGAAGCACAAAAGGATAACCAGGATTAGCATTCATCTCAAAAGTCTTCCCCTACCCTACCCACAACCATCTGTCCTATA